CTGAAAACCTTATGAATAGCAGTGAAACATCAGACAGCACCCAGGTATCAACTATTGAAACATTAAGAATGTTGTTGTTATTAAGTGCCACTGAGTCCGTTCTGCATCACAGCAAACCTGTATAGGATTTCCAAGGTGTGGCTGGTGAGTTTGAACCACCAAACTTGTGGTTCAAACTTAGGGTCCGGTGCTTACCCTACAACTGTTTATAACAGGTCCTACAACGTGCAGCACTAGGCAGATGGGTGCCAGTTATTCTGTCTCTCCAACACAATGGGGCCTGGGAGACGATCTGAGGTTCCTAAATCTTTCCTATCTGTGAAGGCTCTAAAGCATGTCTGCAATCTCCTCAGACGCCTTTCTAGAGAAGAGAGTCAGGGAGCGAGATGGGACCACTGCATTAAGAAGAACACCAGAATACTCTCAGATACAGTGCCAGAAGATGAGCCCCTCAGGCTGGAAGGCACTCAAACTCTGACTGGGGAAGAGCTGCCGCCTTAAAGTAGAGTTGACTGTGATGACACGAATGGACTAAAGCTTTCAGGACCTTCATTTATCCGTGGGGCACAACTCAAAAGAGGAGAAATAATTTTAAACAACCATTTATAATCACAATATGGAATGTACAATGTGTGCATCTAGGAACATTGGAAGTTGCCAAAAATGAAATGGAATACATAAAGATGGATAGCCTAGGCATTAGTATGGTGAAATGGACCAGAATTTGCCATTTTTAATTTAACAATCATATGGTTTTTGCTATACCAGGCATGGTAAATTAAAGAGGATGGCATCACATTCATCATCAAAAAGAACATTTCAAGATCTGCCTTGACGTACACTGCTGCCTGTGACAGGGTAATATGCATGTGCCTACAAGGAAGATCAGTTAATACCCACTATTATTCAAATTTACGCACCACCCTCTAAAGCCAGTGGTGATGAAATGGAAGAATTCTACCAACTTCGTCAGTGTGAAATCGATCAAACACACACTCAAGACACTGGTAATTCGCAGCGATTGGCAGGCAAAGGTTGGAAACAAAGAGGAAGAATCAGTAGTGGGAAAATATGGCCTTGGTGATAGTAATGATGCTGGAGACCACATAATAGAATTTTACAAGACCAGTTACTTCTTCATTGCAAATACCTTTTTTAAATGACACGAAAGACATACACATACACATGGACCTCACCAAACAGATTACACAGACATCAAACTGATACCATCTGTGGGACAAGAAGATGGAAATGCATCACACTGTCAGCCCAAACCGGGCCACGGCAGACTGTGCAAGTTCAAGCTGAGGATGCAGACACCTTTTAAAAAGTCCCCGAGAGTCAACAATTCGCCTTTAACATATCCCACCTAATTTTAGAGATCATCTCAAAAATAGTTGATGCATTAGACACTAATTGCCAAAAACCAAGAGTTGTGGGATGACATCAAGAACATCATACAGGAAGAACGTGAAGGCCATTAAGAAAGAAGGAAAAGACCCAAACGGGTGTCAGAAAAAGATTATGAAACTTACTCTACAGTGTAGAGATGCTAAAGCCGTGAGGAGATAAACAAACTGAACAGAACATGTCAAGGGGCAGCTTCAGAAGACAAAATCAAAGTCGGATCAGGAAATGTACAAAAACCTGAAATTAGAAAACCAAAAGGGAAGAACACGCTCAGCACTTCTCAAGCTGAAAGAACGGAAGACAATCCTTCAAGTCTCTGGTTACAACATTAAAGGATTCTGTGGACCAAATATTGAACCATGCAAAAATCATCAGAAAAAGATTGAAGGAATACACAGAAACTGCACCACAAAGAAGTGATTGATGTTCAACCATTTCCAGAGATAGCGGATATCAAGAGCCAATGGTACTGAAGAAAGAAATCCAAAGTGCAATGATGAATGCATTGGCAAAGCACAAGGCTCTGGAAACTGATGAAATACAAACTGAAATCCTTCAAACAACTGACGCAGCACTGGACCTACTCATTTATCTATGTCAAGAAACTTGGAAGACAAGTCACCAGACCAACTAAATGGAAAAGATCCATATTTGTACCCATTCCAAAGAGAAGTGGCCCAACGCAAAGTGGAAATCATTGGACAATATCACCTGCAAGTAAATTTTTGCTGCAGATAATTCACAGACGGCTGCAACAGTACATTGATAAGGAACTGCCAAGGAACTGCCAGAGCTTCAAGAGATTCACAAATTGACGTGAAAATGGAGGATTAATATTACTGACGTCAGATGGATCTTAGATGAAAGCAAAGAACGCCAGAGAGACGTTTGCCTGTGCTTTATTGAGTGTTCAAAGGCTTTCAACTGTGTGGATCATGACAAACTACGGACAACAGTGCGAAAAATGGATATCCCAGGGCACTTAACTGTGCTCATGAGAAACCTGTACATAGACCAAGAGACAGTTGTTTGAACAGAACAAGGGGACACTGAATGTTTTAAAAAAAAGCAGGAAAAGTTTGTGTGCCAAGACGGTATTCTTTCACCATGCTTATTCAATGTGTACACTGAGCAAATAATCTGAGAAGCTGCATTATATGAAGAAGAACGTGGCATCAGAATTGGAGGAAGATGCATTAACAACCTGTGATATGCAGACGATACAACCTTTGCTTGCTGAAAATAATGAGAACTTAAGATACTTATTAAGGTCAGAGACCACAGTCTTCAGAATGGGTTATATCTCAAGTTAAAGAAACAAAAATCCTCACCACTGTACCAATAAATAACGTTAACAAATGGAGAAAAGATTGAAGTTGTCCCCCTATTAAATTAAAAAAAAACAAAAAAAAAAAAACACAAAAACTTCATTTTGATTGGATCAATCTTCAACACTCATAGAAGCAACAGCTGGGAAATCCAACTATGTATTGCCTTGAGCAAATCTGCTCCACAAGACCTCTGTAGAGCGTTTAAGGACTAAAATGCACCTGACCCAAGCCACTGTGTTTTCAATAGCCTCAAACGCATGTGCAAGTTGGACAATAAAAACGAAACACTGTGAAAAAATTCATGTGTTTGAATTATGGTATTAGAAAAGAATATTCAAAGTACCATGGCCTTCCAAAAGAACAAACAAAGCTTTGTTGGTAAGACTAGCTCCAGAATGCTTTCTTAGAGGTGAGGATGGTCAGGCTTCATCTCTCATACTCTGGACATATTTTCAAGATACCCTGAAGGAGAACATCTTTTTTGGTAAAGTGGAGGGTCAGTGAAAAAGACGATGACCCTCAACGAAATGGACTGGCACAGTGGCATCAGCAATGTGCTAAAGTGTAAGGGTTGTGAGGATGGCACAGGGTTGGGCAGTGTTGTGTTCTGCTGTGCAAAGGACACTGTGAGTTGGAACAGACTCGTCAGCACCTAACAACAACAACAAAGAGTTCCTTCCAATCTTCCTTCAAATCATTGCAGTTAGCTCTCCACTAACAGCTTGGTACTGTAGTCGGCAACAACCAGCAAACTGATTTCAATTAAGCTACTTAAAAATGGGAAACCAGGGAGACCATGTTGACCTCTGCCCACAGTGGCCTTTGTCTTCACTAGTTTTCCCATGTTGCCTGAACTTTCAAATAATTTTTACAACAGCCGCTATGTAAATCTGGGGGGAAAAAAAAGGTTTAAATACCAATAACAAAATTACTTATTTAAAAAGAATTACATGTTACTAATACTCTACTCAAACCAATTTTCACACAGATGTGCAAAAATCTCCCTAGTATTTGGTCATCCTGTCTTACAATTTTTTTATTTGGTTCTCAATGCCCTGGCACTTTGAGTTTTTAACTGCGCTTTTTTAAAAAACCAAGATGGATGTGTTGTTAGGAAAAGGGTTAACCTACAGGTTAGTTCGACTTAGTCACGTGAGGTCACTGTGACTCAGCAGCTACCTGACAGCACAAACCACCATTAATTATCGACATTTGATGTCATTTGTTCCATTTTTTAGAAGGAAATTGAATACGGGAGAATTTTTAATGTGACTGCAAAGCTCCTGACGATATTATGATCCCTCGATGGCGTGACGCCTCCCGATCCCAGAGCCATCAGGGTATGAGACGCCCTGCACACAAGTCTGCGAAGGGCCCCGGAGCTAGCTCCTGCTTCTAAGTCAGCGTGGATGTGCGGTCAGTCGTTACAGATCTCCCAAGGAATGCTTTTCACCAATCCGTCCCCACATACACCCCGCCCCTTCTGAAGCACGCAAGTACACATGTGTGCATTCACACGCCCACACTACCCCTGCCTGGAATCCTGAGCCAGTTTCACCAAGAAAACCCTTCGTGAAGCTGCTTCCGATCAGACAGGCTATGCCCGTCTTGTTACAGATTGTGAGCAGACTGCACAGGTACTGAACCCAGGATGATGTGTTCCAGGGGTGAGCCTGGTTCAGGCGAAGGAAACCCAAGAAGCAGCACCGCACGGCTGCTGCTGAGGGACTGACGCCCAGCCCCTCCTCCCCACGCTCACCTTCCACTCTGACGCCAGGTCTGCAGGTGTGAATCTGAGTAACAGTACAATGGAAAACGCCAGAAACTGACAGGCTGCGGCTTCCGGAAACTCACTGAGGCGGAATTCTCCGTGGCTGAGACGGTCTCTGACGCGGGGCCCCTCCTGATGGTTCAGGAAGTCCCAGAGAAATTCCTTCAGACAATGGACAGAGAACACGTGCTGTCAGCTTCGGGTGCACTGACATGCGTGCTAAGATGCGTGAGCAGTACACGCGGTACAACTCTTCATTCACTGTTCTCAGTACACACTCAACAAGCGCACACGACAGACAGACAGACAGACCGACAGACCGACGACCGAGACTGCTGGGGTCTGGGCCTCACCGAGTGGGCTCCCTAGTGGGGGTGCACAGACACAGAGTCAGGAAGTGGAAGGGCTAGGGGAACAGAAGAGGTGTGAAAACAAGAATGACATCTGGGGGACATCTGGGGAACAGGATTTAGAGGACGTTCTGGCAGCAGGAGCAGTGGGTGCCCAGCTGGGTCAGGCCTCCCTGAAGCCTCACTCTTTCTGACTGAAGCAGCCACCTCAACAGGACAAAAATCCCCAGGTGGGGCTGGTCCTCGTTCCCACCTTCCTCCTAGGAGGTCAGGAGGCTGTCCACGTGCATACATGAACCCTTCAAGGCCACAGAGCACCGCTGCTTTCCTTGCATGAGCAAGCCTCTGAGTCCCTGGCTTCACTACTCTCTCCGGACATGTTCTTTCTGGTCTCGCCTCCGCCTCTGAAACCCGATGAAGACAAGGCCAGTGGAGAGAGCACCGACAAGCCCTTCACCCCGTTGTTTCAGGAACAGCAGACATGACGCCCACAGAGCTGAAGCTGGAGGGATGTCTCAGAGTACAAGAGGAACTGGCTGCCCAGCTCGCCCCGCTGGGCTCCGGATCCTGACACCACCACCTGGCACAAGGGCACTGAGGCCATGGGAAAAACTGCCCCCAGCCATGATTTAAGCAAAGTGTGGCCTTTTCTCTAGAGCCCATACAGCACTTCTAAATGGTTACTAGAAAAATACAAATATAGTGGAAGACTCTAAAACTGAAAAGGGGCCGCAAGAGCCAAATTGAGAAGACCTCCTTAAGAGGAGAGTGGTTGGCTTTGCAGCTCAGGAGCAAAGGTCCCTGGGACCATCAAGGGAGAAGAGAGGCGTGTGGGACCCTACCCAGAGAAACAGTGATACCAGAGATGGAAGGAGAGACGATGACATGGAGAGATGGAGCGGCTGGGGACTCTAAATGCAGAGAGGGAGAGGGGCTATGGGCTGACGACCAGGGGGCAGGCTTGCAGGGTATACCCTATGGTTGGCTGATGAGGCATGGAGGCATGGAGGGGACTGTAACCGTGGCAATGTCACGACATATGATAGGATGAATGTAAAGCTAATGTTCTCCTAGGTAAACTATCACATAAGTCACATCAAACATTGAAAAAAAAAGATCTTAAACAACACTGACAAAGCAGAGGACTGGTTCAGAAAGAGGAGGGGGCTTCAAAAAATTTGTGAAAAAATGAATTTAGTGACATTTTTCCATGAACTTTTGTAAGCCCCTGGCTATTTTCCTGAGCATCCCGGGTGAAAACAAGTTTTCATTGCAGAATTCTAATGACATCGACGCACACAAATACACGAGACTGGAAGAGCCCTAGTACGTTACCAGCGTGGGCTCGCCCAGGAGAGCTGGCAGCTGATTGGTGGTGCCATCCTCCAACCCTTCTGCCAGCACCTAAAGAACACGAAGAAACAACTCAACCGCTAGCACACCAACATGAACAACACACCCGCAGAACTCGGAGCACAGTACCAACGGTGAGCATGCTCAATCAGTACAGCAACTAGGGCACTCCGTTTACTTTTCTGTGAACATACACAAATAGAAACACACAAGCGCACCGCTTTAGAGTCTGAAATCTGAAGGCTTGTTGCCTGCAAACAACTCCAATCAGGCAGAATGGCATCTTGTGCGGTGTTCCAGAGGTGAAGTGTCTCCCGTACCTCTGACAGTTAGAAGCAGCAATTGTGTGAAAGTGTTTGGAGCCACTTCCCCTCATCAGCACAGGAAGACGCTTTAAAGATGGCTGTGGTGTCAGAGCCCAAGAGCCTCAGGGAAGTTTTAAACTTTCCTATTGGCCAGTCCTCTTGCTGCTTCTATGGGCCCAGTGTGAGAGTTAAGGTTTTGTGTTAACTTGTTTGGATCTGAATTCTCAGAGGTTTGTCAGTTAAGATGTGAGAATATACCATGAGATCATCTAATATGATACAATTACCCCAGGATGTGATTTGATATGATTTGCCCTGATGTAGTTTTCCTGTGTGGTGAAGTTTCTCCTCTGCGGTAACGAGGGCAGACGCAATCTACAGGATTAGGTTGTATTTGGAGTCAATGTCTTTGAGATATGAAAGACACAGGTGAGCTTAGTTCAGAGAAACCTACTACCACAAAGATAGAAGAGTCAGGAGTGGAGAATGCTGATTGGAGCTGGGGTCCCTGCACTGTGAAGCTTTCCGTTTAGGGTTAGGCTACAAGTCCTAATTCAGAGAGCCTGCTCTAGGGAGGGCTGCAACAGCTCTGGGGAAGGGCCCTTGTCTCCTTTCCCGTCTGTAGGCCCAGAATTCCTTGCAGATCTCCACACATCTAGCCTCCTAAGGGAGAGGAACAGTTCTGTTGGTTAAGCCATCCGCCTGTGCTATTTCTGTGATCGCAGCACGAGATGTCTAAGACACTGCTGCCATCAGGTCTGTTCGTGGGAGCAGATCCCTTCAGTCTCTGGGCCTTATAGAAGGTTGCCACAGGGAGAGAGAACTTTGAAAATTCATTATGATGTCATATTGGGTGATCTGTTTTGTCTTGCCTTCAATCCTGTTTAATAGTTAATAAAAATATTTATATGGGAAGATGGGGTCTCTTTTCTCCCAGAGAACACACACACACACGTGTGTATGTGTACATAATTTACATATCTTGTTGTTAAGTGCCATCAAATTGGTACTGAGTTATAGCGACCCTGTACAGAGCTTCCAAGGAGAGGCTGGTGGCTTTTAACCGACGGCCTCATGGCTAACAGTACAGTTAGCTGATCCTACAGAGGTACACCAGGACTCCAACTGACGTATGCCATGGACTGTAAGCCCAAGCCCACCAGCCCACCCGAAAAGCTGTGACTGAGGAGCAGTGCTTCAGTCCTGGACGGAGCACTTACCGGACGTGGTGACCTACGAGGGACTTTCTAACCCAAAAACTGGAACTCAAAGATAATGTAATCTCCCCACAAATGTTTCGAAGTTGCTTGTGCACCCGATGGTAAGCAGGCACACTCACTTTGGAACCTCAATTACTTCCCAGGAGTGATGATGATGTACCCACAAGGGCCTCCCTTTCCTTACCACAGAGGCTAACTCAGTGGGACTCCCAGGATGACGCACACACAGGCTGCAACCAACTGTGGCACTAAGATCGTATCAATGGTGACCTGACAAGCCCCGTTCAGAAGTGAAATACCCCATGATACTATGTAATCGGAGTTCTGGTGTGGTGCTGTGGGCTAATGTGCAACACTGCAAAGCTGTCTGAACCGCAAGGTCGGTGGTTCAATCTTACCAGTTGCACCTCAGAAACCCTATACACAGGGTCGCTATGAGTCGGAATTGACTTGATGGCACTTTGCAACAGCAACAACATGCTAAATAATTGAAGTCCTGGTGTGGCGCTGTTCATTAAGCACTAACTGCTAACTGCAACTCCACAGTGTAGTGTATTTCATCTGCAAACAAGGGTTAAACCCCAATCTTCAAATGTAAAACCTCCGGTTAATAATGGCCAGCAATGTCAGTCTCCCTCAGTGTTTTCCAACCGCATTGTTATGAAGTGCCCTTGAGTCAGTTCCCATTGATAGCCACCCTGCATAGGGCTCTGGGGAGCAGGCTGGTGAGCTTGAACCACCGACCTTACAGTCCAGTGCGTTAACCCACAGCGCCACACCAGGCCTCCCACATCAAGCTCTCTTTAAGTTCAGACACTAGGTCTCACAATCAAATGAAATACTTAAGTTATTTTGTGTGTGTGGTGTAAGAGGGGGCTTCACGACATTCATGGAAAAATGGAGTGAAAAGATCATGGAACTGTTCCAAGTGCTTTCTGAAACTAGCTTGTATTGTTATCAGCATTTTCCCGTAAACTTACAACTTTGGACTGGTCTTTAATTTTGTTTTATAATTTCTGTTTAAACAAACGCAGTGCTTCTTTATTTTAAAATGTCTTATTAGTGTAGCTACTTACCTCATCCAAGGTGGTGTAGAGAGCTGTTGACTGTAGAAATGGGAAGAAAAGGAAAGAGATTGTTAAAGACAAAGTGACATCACTCAGACCAGAAACCAATTCTCATATGTGGCCCTGAGTCTGAAAGCTGTCAACACTTGTGCTTGAGGGCATGAAAGGGAGCCAACAGAGGTCTGCCCACAGGAGCACAGGGGAGCTCGGAACTGACCATCCCTGACGTGGGGTCTATGCACCACTGAGGACAATGGAATGTTTTCTCTGACTGTAGAGAGCTCGGACCAGACTGCCTCAGAATTCTAATCCCAACTGTAACACTTTCTACAGGTGAAGTCCTAGCACCTACTGAACTCAGCAAGTCTCAAAAGGAAGCCACACAGAACGTGGCCATCAGAATGGCCGGGAAAGGAACGGATGCTCGAGTCTGCCACCAGGAAAGGATGAGTGATGGTGAGCAAAGGAACGTCAGGGGACAAATCCAATGGAGGGAAAAACCATTTTTGGAGTAAAGTGCATTTGAAGTGCGGAGGGAAATGCATGCGAAGGTGTTCAGCGGCGAGGCTAACCCTGAGAACCGAGGTGTCTGCTGGAAACGGCTCAGAACTGACTGCACTGGGGGTAGGAGTGCCCCGCCCCCGTCACGGTTCCAGCCACACCCTCCACTACAGAGGGGCTGCCTTTCCCTGTGATTTGGTTCCCCATATTTTCCAATTGCTATTGTTCCCATTGAGGTAAGCATCACATGAGAGGAACAAAGTCTGAACTGAGAAAGCCAGGTGGAGCGGGTACAGCTGCTTCCCAGGGTACGTGTTCTCCTTTACTCCATCAGGTACTCCACTTCTCAGTTGGGCACCTGGTCGCCCCAAAACATTTCCAAGACTCCCCGGCAGCTAGGTGGGACTGGGTTAGGCAACAAGGAAGTGGTGTGTGCAGCTTCGGGGGAGTTCCCTTCAAGAGGGGGGGTGCAGAGGTGAAGGCTGGAGCAAACAGCATGAGCCACAAGGAGGATGTCACCTTCTGAAGAGGAATGGTCACAGGAGAGACGGCGCCCACGAGCCTATGGCTGGGGCTGCCAGCTCAGTTCTGGGCCACTCTCATTCTATCTATCGTATATGCGTCGCGGCTATTCGGGGTCCTGTCACCATCGCTGGTACAGGTTTACAGAAGCAGAGGGGATGGTGTACAGTGTTCAGGCACCTAACAAGGCAGCAGGTTAGAAACTATAACACGTCTGGGCTCCCCGCTAGTCACTCACGAGCCTGAAGCAGCAGTGAGGGAATAAAGCTAACAACAGTGACTATGGAAAAGCTAACATTCTCTCCTGGGAAGCGCTAAATCCTGCAACTCTCTCAAACATATTCTGTCCTGTTTTCAAGATGAATAAACCAATGTTCAGGGAGCTGCTTGTTTTTCCAGGGCTACAACACAAAGTCTGGGGCCACAGCTACGTCTCTCTGGCCAGAACCTACAGGCTCCCAGGCGGTCAGGGGTTCTGTATTCCCTAACACACATGTTGCAAACTATGTATTGTCTAACTTGGTTAAAATGATGAGCCCCTAGTTATGGCTACAGAAAAATATAAATGCTTTTATGGCACTATTAAGTTTAAAAGACTACTTTGAAACATTCTAGAAACATAAAAGCAGTCACTGATATACTAATATATAAATCCCATAGGATAAACACGATAGAAAGGAAGCATGGTGGCTCTAGAGGATAAGCACTGGAATGTGAACAACAAGGTCAGTGGTTCAAGCCCACTAGCTGGTCTACAGAACAAAGATGAAGCTTTCTGCTCCCATAAAGACTTACAACTCGGGAACCATATACAGAGTTGCTATGAGTTGAAATTGACTTTGTTGGCACACCAACAACAAATATAACAAAAAAATCACACACACAAAGAGTCAAGCTTTCCAAGGAATTTTCTTAGCTAAAAGAAAAACTCATTCTAATCATAAATAAAAATAAGAACGGTCTTTAAAGCAAAACTTAATTCTTCACCGCAGACCGCTGACCTTTCCCTAACAATCACCATCAGAAACACCACCATGTACACCTCGGCTGTCAGGAGTCTCCGCGGGCATCTGTTGACGGTGGCGAAAGCTCTTCTCAGACCGCCTTCTACTTGTGTCAACAGCAATATAACACAGTCAGCAAACCTAAGGAGACGAAAGACGAGCACCCATGAAAAAGCAACCAGCACAATCGCAGCACAGTCACCAATGGAAGCAGCAGACACGTGCTATCATCATGTGATCGGCAGAGTTTGCCAAGTAGACCAGCAGGCCTTTCTTCCTGATCTGTCTGGAAGCTCTGCGGACACCTGGTCAGCATCAACAGGCAAGTCTCCACTGACAGATGGGGGGAGAAACATGGAGCCTGGCTTCCCACATGGAAGGCCCAGTGTTCCTAGTACTGCATTAAATGTAGGAGGTGCTGCGTGACTTACTAGTGTGAGGAACAAGATCATAATAGAATCAGTCTCATTAGACTAGTGGTTTAGCCTACTGTCCACCATGTGTTCTCTCTAAGCCATATAACAGCTCCTGCAGAACATGTCGTCAAAGATTTGCTTAGCTTTACCAAAACAAATAATAAATACTAAAAAATACTCACACACCAGGATCTCAGTGACTTTCAAAGAATGTCTAAAAAGCACCCAAAAAATGTAACTTCTCAGGAATTAAAAATCAACACATTCGACTTCCTGCTGTCGATTGCAGATGTGTTTCATTTGCTCCTGAGGAACGGTACCTCTACAAAGGCAAACATGACTTATCTTTGACTCCCTGAGTGTCATAAAAAAATTCCAAAAATTCAGCATCAAAAACAAATTATATAAACTTAACAAAAAAGATGGCACGGGTGGAAGGCAGGGCTTCAAAAAGTTCATAATAAAATGGAATGAAAAAAAAAAAGGAAATTTTTCCAGACTTCTAAAAGAACACTCATATAACATTTCAATCACAGTTACAAAACTGCTTTCCAGTGAACCTATGATGCTATTTTATGCTCCTGCCTACTCAATACACATGTATCCACAGAGCAGGCAAGCACAGCGGTCAAGGACACTAAGGGGGACCGGGTCTAACACCAACCATGCTGCACAACGTACCCTGCCATTACCTCTGGGACCTGAACTTGAAGACCGCAAGCTCCCAGTATGGTAGCATGGTCCTGAATATAAACGTAGATTTCTTCATCACGTCTTCCAACACTGAAAGCACCTCATAAGTAACATCTGCAAGACAGCAATGGACCTTTATGAGGGACAAGACTATGACCACCACCTAAGATCCACTCACCTGTGATGACACCATGAGATGAGCGACTGAGACTTAATCACCTGGGACAACACCATGGCCAACCATGAAGACCTGCTAACCTGGGATGACATCACGAATAAGACCTGCTCACCTAAGATAACACCAAGACTGAGACCTGCCCACCTGGGACAACACCATGGCCAACTGACCTACACACCTGGGACACCACCACCACAGACAGAGATCTGCTCACCTGGGACACCACAATCATCTACTGAGATCTAGCCATCCAGGATGGCTCCATGACCAACTGAGACCTGCTCACCTGGATGACACCATGGCCAACCATGAAGACTTGTTCACCTGGGACGACACCATGACTGACCATGGATCTCTGCTCACCTGGGATGACACCATCACAAAATGAGGCCTGCTAACCTGGAACACCACGATGACTGACTGTCATGCACACCTGGGATGATACCAACACTGACTTGAGATGTGCTCACCTGGGACAACTTAGACCTGCTCACCTGGTAGGACACCACAACAGACTGAGACTTGCGTACCTGAGATGACTGACTGACTGACACCTACTCACCTGCATGACATGACCAAGTGAGACCCACTCACCTAGACCACCACCGTAACCAACTGCTGGTTAGCCTGGATGACACCATGAATGAGCATGGAGACCTATTCACCAGGGTTAACAGCATCACCAATTGAGACCTGGTCACCAGGGACACCACCACAAACAACTGAGATATGCTCAGCTGGTAACATCAAGACCAACTGAGACCAGGACACCTGGGATAAAACCCTGACCGACCATGGAGACCTTCTCACCTGGGACAACACAATGACTGAGAACCTGCTCACCAGGGAAGACTCCATGACCAACTGAGAACTTGCTCACTTGAGCCGACACAACATTATGAGTGAGATCGGCTCACCTGGGACAAAAAAACAAAACTGAGACCTGCTCACCTGGGATGATACCATGGCTGAAACCTGCTCAACTGGGACCACTCCATGACTGAGGACCTGCTCACCTGAAATAAAATCATAATGAACTAAGACCTACTCACCTGGAATGACTCCATGACGGAGAACCTGTTCACCTGAATGACACAACTGACTAAGATCAGGTCACCTGAGATGACACCATGACCAACGGAGATCACACCCAGTACAGCACCATAACCCACAGAGAAACTGCTCACCTCAGACACCATGACCAACTGAGACACATTACCCTGGGAAGACTCCATCACCAACTGAGAACATGCTCACCTATAATCATCTATAATGACACCATGACCAACTCAGACCTATTCGCCAGGGATGATTCCATGACCAACTGAGACCCTAAGTCACCTGACACAACATTATTACTAAAACCTACTCACCTGGAACCTGTCCATCATTTGCCTCAAATCTGCTCACCTGAAGGACACCACAACGAAGATTACCTCACCTGAGATGACACCATGACCAATTAAAACCTACTCCCTGGGACTTCACCATGACCGACAAAAACCTGCTCAACCGAAAGAAATAAACCTAAAGAACAGCTCACCTGAAATGACAGTATAAACACCTGAAACCTACTCACCTGGGACAGCACCATGACCAACTAAGAACCTGTCCACCACAGACACCATGAACAACTGAGATCTACTCACCTAGATCAACTCCATCACCAACTGAGAATATGCTCACCTGGGACGACACGACAGACAACAAAGGCCAACTCACCTGGAATGATTCCATGAGCAACTGAGACCTACTCAACAGGCAGGACTCCATGACCAACTGAGAACATGCTCACCTGGAACACCACCATGACCAACTCAGACCTACTCACCTGGGAGAACTCCATGATGAACTGAGGACCAGTTCACCTCAGACACTTTGACCAATGCAAACTTACTCACCATAGGTGGACTCCCAGAACAACTGAGAACCTGCTCACCTGGGAAAACATGATGACCAACTCATACCTACTGAGCTGGGTCTGCTCCATGTCCGACTGAGAACCTCCTTACCTGGGATGTCACTATGCTCACCTCAGATCTACTCACTTGGGTCGACCCATGACCATCTGAGAACCTGCTCAATTGAGATGACACCATAACCAACTAAGAATCTGCTCACCAGGGACGTCACCGTGATCAACTCAGACCTACTCACTTAGATTGATTCCATGACCAACTGCTCACCTCAGAAACATTGAACTTAGGCCTACTCACCTGGGTTGATTCCATGACCAACTGCTCACCTCAGAAACCATTACTAACTCATACCTACTCACCTGGGACATCACCATGATCAACTCAGACCTACTCACCTGGGTTGATTCCATGACCCACTGCTCACCTCAGAAACCATGACCAACTCAGATCTAACTCACCTGAGTCAACTCCATGATGGACTAGGAACCTGATGACCTCACCATGACCAACTCAGACCTACTCACCTAGAATGACTCCATGACCGACTGAAAACGTGCTCACCTCAGACATCAGGACCAACTGAGGCTTACTCACCTGGGAATATTCCATGACCATCAACCTGCTTGACCAACTCAGATCTACTTACCTGGGTCAACTCCATGGGTAACTGAGAACTTGCTCATCTCAGATGACACTATGATCAACTCAGATATACTCGTTGGGGCACACATGCTGACCAACTGGGAACCTACTCACCTCAGACACCATGACTAACTCAGATCTACTCAACTAGGACGACTCCATGTCCGACTGAGAACCTGTCCACCTCAGACAGCATGAAAAACTCAAGACCTATTCACCTGGGAAGACACCATGAATAACCGAGAACCTTCTCACATGACCAACTAAGACCTACATACCTGGGAGGACTCCATGACCAACTGAAAACCTGCTCACCCAGGATGACACTATGACTAACTAAGACCTATGTACCTGGGAGGGCTCGACCAACTGGGAACTTGCTCACCTCAGACACCATGACCAACTCAGACCTACTCACCTGGTGCAACTCCATGACCAACTGAGAACCTGCTCATGTCAGTCATCAATGATCAACTCAGATGACTCCATGACCAACTGAAAATCTGCTCACTTGGAATGACACCATGACCAAGTGAGACCTATTCACCTGTAATGACTACACAACCAAGAAGTTGCTCACCTGTGATAACACCATGACCAACTGAGACCTATCACCTGGGGCAACACCATGACCACTGAGAAACTGCTCACCTGGGCTAACACCATGTCCAACTGAAACCTACTTACTTGGAATGACTGCATGACCAACTTAAGACCTGCTCACCTAGGATGACACATGACCACCTGAGACCTAGTCACCTGGGACCAATTGAGAACTAGTCACTTCAGACATCATGACCAACCGAGACCGACTTACCTGGGAGGAATCCATGAACAACTGAGTACTGCTCACCTGGAATAAAATAACCATCAACAGACACCTACTCACCTGGGTCAACTTCATGACCAAGTAAAAACCGGCTCACTTCAGACACTATGACCAACTCAAACTTACTTACCTGGGACAATTCCATGACCAGCTGAGAACCTGCTCACCTTGAGATGACATGATGACCAACTCAGATCTACTCACCAGGGTTGACTCCATGACCAACTGCTCACCTCAGAAACCATCATCAATTCAGACCTGTTCAACTGAGAACCTACTCACCTGGGTCAACAAGCATGAGTGACTGAGAACATGCTTACCTCAGACATCATGATTAACTGAGGCCTACTCACCTGGGATAACACTATGACCAACTCAGACCTACTCACCTACTAAGACTCCATGACCAACTGAGAACTTGTTTGCCTCAGACACTACAACCAACTGTGACCTACTCACCTGGGACAACTCCATGACAATTGAGAACTAGTCACTTCAGACACCGTGACCATCTGGGCCGACTCACTATGACCAACTCAGACCTACTCACCTGGAAAGACTCCATGACCAACTGAGAATCTGCTCACCTCAGACACCATGACCAACTGAGGCCTACTCACCTGGGATGACACAAAGACCAACTCAGATCTACTCACCTGGAAGGATTTCAGGACCAACTAAGAACTTGTGCACCTCAGGCACCAGGACCAACGCAGACCTACTCACCTGGGACGACTCCATGACTGACTGAGACCCTGCTCACCTCAGACATGACACTATGACCAACTGAGGTCTACTCACCTCGGAGGACTCCATGATCAACCGAGATTCTGCTCAACTCAGACCTACTCACCTGGGAGAACTCCATGGCCAACTGGGAACTTGTTCAGCTCAGAGACCAACACCATTCAAACCCACTCACCTGAGGCAACTCCATGATCTACTGAGAACCTGCTCAACTGGGATCATGATCAACCCAGAACTACTCACACCTGGGACAACTCCATGACCAATGGAGCATCTACTCACCTGAGATGATACCATGACAAAGTAAGAACCTGCTCACCTGGGATAAAACCATAACCAACTGAAAACTCACCTGGGTCGACGTCATGACCAACTTAGAACTTGTTCACCTCAGACACCATGACCAACTCAGATCTACTCACCTGGGACAACTCCATGAACAGAGAACCTACTCAACTGAGATGACACAATGACCAACTCAGACCTATTCACCTGGGTAGATTACCATGACCAACTCAGACCTACTCCCCTGGGAGGACTCCATGACCAACTGAGAACCTGCTCTCCTCAGACACCATAACCAACTCAGACCTACTTGCCTAGAGCAACTCCATGAACAACTGAGACCTACTCACCTGGGGCAACTCCATGAACAACTGAGACCTACTCACCTGGGGCAACTCCATGACCACCTAAATCTGTCTACCTGGGATAAAACCATGACCAACTGAAACCTACTCATGTGGGTCAACACCATGACCAACTGAGAACTTGTCCACCTCAAAATCCATGACCAACA